ACTATAACCTGTGGCATCTAGTCCGTTGTACCCTCCAGTCAGGCCACCCCAGCCCCCCAGCTGGTGAACGACAATCCTGCGTACAAGGTCCTTGATATACACCGCTGCCCGGGGATGGCAGTACCTGGACTGGGAGGGGTACCCAGAGGCCCAGAGGTCTCCCATTCTTAGATCTTGAACCCGTCCACACGGCTGTGGAGCATTGGAATCATCAGCAGCGACACCATAAGAGCCCTGATCACCGATGATTCGCTGCCAGATCATTTTCACATACGAGTGGTAACTTGTTTACCTAATCAGTCTCCATGCTCTTGTCCTTCTTGTCTAGTAACTCTGTTCTTGTCTCTCTGTTGGTTTCTCCTTTCTCCAGTCCTCCGCCATTGCCCTTGCCTAGACGCTGTACCTTTTCTATGTGGACCCTCGCCCTCGCCGACTCCGCTGTTTCATCAGCTCCACGGCTCCTGTCTCCACTGCGCAGTGATTGTGGACATTTAAGTTGTTAATAAACTTCTACTTTGGATTGAGTATCTCTCATCCTGCATATCCCTTGTTCTGTCTGATACCAAAATGTGACAAGTTATGCTTATATTTTTCTTTTTTTTTCCCCCTCCACCCACGAGGTTACTTTTGCTTTAACTGCACAAGGTTTAAAAAAAACCACGTTCTAATTGAATCGTGTAAACACCTTTGTAGGAAGGGCTGATGTTTCAACTTTATGAGGATTAACATGCAATAAAGCTGGTCTGTTATGTAAGACTCCTGATCAAAGTCCTCCCTGTTTATAATTTGGATCACACACTTTTGGAAGCGGCAGGTACGTAGAGGACTGACAGGACGACACTGGGAATTTTTGTCCTTTTATCTGTCTTACCCACTGGTTTCTGGTTTGTGATTGACAATGGCTCATCGCTTCGCCAACGATCTCATTTGTCCGGTGTGTTTTGAGATTTTCAAAGATCCTGTGTTGCTGTCGTGCAGCCACAGTTTCTGTAAAAAATGTCTGGACAGTTGGTGGGCGGACAAAGTGGTTTGCACTTGTCCAGTGTGTAATCAAAATCCGAGTGGTGTTCCGGCAAGTAACTTGGTTTTGAAAAACCTCTGTGAAGCCTTGTCAGGAGAACTTTCTGTGAGTGAGGACACCTCTGCGGGATCGGAGGCTCTCTGCAACCTGCACTCGGAGAAACTGAGGCTCTACTGTTTGGACCATCAGCAACCGATGTGTGTCGTCTGTCGTGAGTCCAGAGCACACTTCAACCACAGCTTCAAACCCATCGATGAATGTGCGGATGATTACAGGGACAGTCTCAGGACGTCCTTGAAGCCCTTACAACAAAATCTCAATCTTCTGAGTGAGGCTGAAGTTAAATGGAATCTCACAGCCGAACACATTAAAATGCAGGGACAAAATACAGAGGAGTCGATTAAGGAAGAGTTTCAAAAGCTCCGGTGTTTTCTACAACAAGAAGAAGAATCGAGAATCGCCGCCGTGAGAGCTGAGGCGGAACAAAAGAGCAGCGCGATGAAGAGGACTGTTGAGACTCTGAGCAGGGAGATAAAACGTCTAAAAGACATAGTCGAAGCCACAGAAGAGGAACTGAGAGCCACAGATGTGGAATTCCTCAACAAATACCGGGCTGCATCAGAAAGACTTAACAAACAACCTTTGCTGAAATGTCCAATGCTGACACCTGGTACGTTGATCAATATGACAGAACACGTGGGCAACCTCACCGACAAGGTATGGCAAAAGATGAAGGACATGGTCACTTATAGTCCTGTGATTCTAGACCCAAACACAACGGTACAAGTTGTTAGCAAGGATCTGACAAGTTTAACATACACTAATAACATTAGTCATCTTCCAGAAAACCCAGAAAGGTTTAAAAATTACATCCTATGTCTTGGATCTGAAAGCTTTAACTCTGGGATTCACTATTGGGACGTTGAGGTTGGAAATGATAGAGGATGGTCAGTTGGGTTGATAAAAGATTCTGTCGATAGGAAGGCAGAGCGGCTAACTGGTTACTGGGAATTATGGTTGAAGGACGGTCTGTATAGAGCAAGTTGTCCACCACATATAGAGGAACGTCTGACATTGACGAGACCAATTAGGAAGGTGAGAGTTCACCTGGACTGGGAGGGAGGAAAGCTGAAATTCATCAACCTGGACACAAACACAACCATTTATACCTTCGTACAAACATTCACAGAGAAGCTGTATCCTTTCTTTGACAACAGCTGTCAGACACCACTGAGGATATTACCGGCAAAAGTCAACATGAAATTGACTATATAGTCATCTGACGGTTCTGACATTTTATGTCGTAGAGTTTTGAAACTGTTTCAAACAAAATAAAATCTTTTTTGAAATAACTCATAGTCACATACATTAGATGATAGTTGAATGAAATATGGCAAATGCATTTGTACTGCAATATAAAATATATAATATGTATTATAACTAGAGTATTACAGTGGAACCTCGAGATACGATCTTAATTTGTTATTATGAAGAATAATGCGCAAAATAGAGAGAAAATCAAGAAGTTAACGCAAACACAATACTAATGACTTGCGGGAGATGCGTACGGAAGTGAACATGTGAAGTGAACGAGTGAAGCAGCCTGGGCTGCACCTAGCATCGGTGTCTGTAAGCGCGCTCGTATCTCAAATCGTTACTCGTATCTCGAAGCAAAAATTTGCTCAAAGGCTCGCTCGTATCTTGAAATACTCGTATCTCAAGGTTTCTCTGTATTAAATTATATATTTCTGTAGAGTAGATAGTTTAATATAATGCATTTTATCCAATTAATGCCATAGGACGATTTGTGTTTTATAATATTATATATTAAACTGTAACCATAATGCTGCTTATATTACATTACAATATATATGTATATATATGTAAAAACATATATACATATATGTGTATACATACATATATACATATGTGTGTTTATATATATATGTAGTGAGTGCATTTCACATTTTAAATCATAGCAGTACAACTGACTGTACCAAGTTAACAAGTACAACTTGAACATCTATAATATGTTTTACTGCATGTCTGTAATAAGAAATACTTGTGTGGGTGTGTATTTGAACCAGACAAATTTATGCTTCAATTGTGAGAACTTTTTCTTAGTTTGATATTAGAGAAAATACACAAGTATATTTAGGTATGTGTGAAAGGAAGTGAGGACAAACTCCTATTTAAAGGCTACACTAACTAAGTATTTTTTGTACCATTTAATCAACAAGCACAAAGTACTTTCTTTGTATCACTGCTGTCCATCTGTATCTTTACTTATTCTAATGTATTACATAGCCATCTGTTCAGAATTACCAATCCTCACCAATAGTTCCTTTGTTTTTAGAAATCATTGAAAATATTAAATAAGAATATTGTCACTTACAGTTGGTTTTTTTTATTTCTAATCCTTTGCAGAAACTGATCACTGATTTTTTTTTTCATTTCTAATCCTTTGCAGAAACTGATCAATACAGCGTACGATGTTTTAAATTCAAAATATTTGTGTAAATGTGCAATCCGTTTTTCCTGATTTTGCTGACTGGAAAAATATATATTCATGTGATAACTAATATTTTTGTATTTGAATATATGTTGTTTGTATATGGTAATCAATGGAAATAAAGCTACATTGAATGTTAACCAAATCAACTGCTGAGTGTCTGTATTATTTGCACACATTGTCAGATCAGGTCGTTCTCTTTAAAAGAAAACAACCTGCTCATTTAGAATTAATTAATGCAAAAAATGATATGTATTCGTTCTTGAAGTCGTGCAATAATGAGGGGAAGGACACTGAGAGAAAGTGGAAATGAAAGAGGTTACTTTTTTTAATAATAGAAATTATTTATGACTTATTTGATCTCATGTGGGGAAAAAACAACTTTTTGACGTCTTTGTGATGTACAGTGTTGAAATGATCATCAACATTAAAATCATTTTGCTAAAAAGTCTGTTAGCATTTATTATTAGTTATGGGCAAACTACTTTAAAGATGTTATTAATAACTGCAAGTTATTTCTTACTTCAAATTTTACAAAATTTAGTCTGTATTTTGTCACTGTCTACAAAGATAACAAACATTTACTAGTGCGTAATCTTTTGTCCTTTATCAACCTAACCTGCTGTATATTCTTTTCAGTTCTACTGCCTTGTCCTTGTCCTCGTTCTTTGTCCTGATTCCCCCTGGACCTGATGTCAGACTAATGCCTTGACTTTTCACATTCCTTTTACCTACGTCTGTCCACAAGGTGGGATAATGTTTATTTTGATTTGATTGGTTGTTTGTTTTTGTTTTTCAGAAGCAGGTGGTCTCCTCTAAGTAAGCCATCTTGTATCGGAATGTTTTTCTTTTTTTTTCCCCGTGTTTACCAGATTGCTGTCTAATTAGCTTACAAAATATAACCTCATCGTTACTAGCTGAAAACATTTGTTCCCTTTTTGAGCGATAAAAACTATCATCATTATAAGCACAGAAAGTCACTTTTTACTTTCAATTATTGATTGAAAGTAATTTTTTAAAATATTTTTTCACTTTTTCTCCCCTCCACTCACCAGGTTTCTTTGCTTTTTGCTTTCACTACACATGGTAATAAACGTTCTAATTGAATCGTTTAAACACCAGGTCCTTTGTATGAAGGGCTGATGTTTCAACTTTATGAGGATTAACAGGCAATAAAACTGGTCTGTTGTGTAAGACTCCCGATCAAAGTCCTCCCTGTTTATAAATTGGATCACACACTTCTGGAAGAGGCAGGTACGTAGAGGACCGACAGGACGACACTGGGAATTTTTGTCCTTCTATCTGTCTTTTGTTTTTTTAATAACACTGTTTTGTTTTGTTTTGAGGGTTTTTTTGTGATTGACAATGGCTCATCGCTTCGCCAACGATCTCATTTGTCCGGTGTGTTTTGAGATTTTCAAAGATCCTGTGTTGCTGTCGTGCAGCCACAGTTTCTGTAAAAAATGTCTGGACAGTTGGTGGGCGGACAAAGTGGTTTGCACTTGTCCAGTGTGTAATCAAAATCCGAGTGGTGTTCCGGCAAGTAACTTGGTTTTGAAAAACCTCTGTGAAGCCTTCTCAGGAGAACTTTCTGTGAGTGAGGACACCTCTGCGGGATCGGAGGCTCTCTGCAACCTGCACTCGGAGAAACTGAGGCTCTACTGTTTGGACCATCAGCAACCGGTGTGTGTCGTCTGTCGTGAGTCCAAAGCACACTTCAACCACAGCTTCAAACCCATCGATGAATGTGCGGATGATTACAGGGACAGTCTCAGGACGTCCTTGAAGCCCTTACAACAAAATCTCGATCTTCTGAATCAGGTTAACACCGACTGGAATCTTATACTGAAGCACATTGACATACAGGCACAAGATACAGAGAACATGATCACTAAAGAGTTTCACAAACTCCAGCATTTCCTACAGCAAGAGCAGGAGAAGAGGATCGCTGCAGTGAAAGAGGAGGCAGAACAGAAGCGCTTTATGATGAAGGAGAGGATTGAGGCTCTGAGCAAAGAGATCGAATCCCTGTCTGATGTAGTCAGAGCCACAGAGGAGCAACTAAGAGCCACAGACATCTCATTGCTCAAAAAATACCCGGCTACAACGAAAAGAGTTCAAAATCAATGTCTGCAGCAGGAGCCAAAACTGTCGTTTGGCGTTTTGGTAGATAAGGCAAAGCATTTGGGCAACCTGGCCTACAAGGTATGGAACAAAATGAAAAACATGGTCACTTACACTCCGGTGATTCTTGACCCAAACACTGCTGAGCCTCATCTTGTAATAGGTGCTGATCTGAGGACTGTACTATACAGAACAACAGAAACGGCGCTTGTGAAAAACCCAGAGAGGTTTGATAGATTCATCACAGTCCTGGGATCTGATGGTTTTACCTCTGGGAAGCACAGCTGGGAGGTTGAAGTTAGACACGACGTAAACTGGGCAGTGGGCGTGGTAAAAGCAACCAGCCGAAGGAAGGGAGAGACACTGACAGATTTCTGGGAAATATGGTTCGAGGACAATAAATACAGGGCGTTCGCTCCGTCACATACAGACAGAGTTTTGACTCTACGGCAACACATACAGATCATCAGGGTGACACTGGACTGGGACAGAGGGAAGCTGATCTTCTCAGACCCACTTACAAATACCACCATCTATACATTCTCACACAGGTTCACTGAGGCACTGCTTCCATTCATTAACACTGACAGTGAGACGCCATTGAGAATATTACCGGTGAAAATCAACGTTCAGTTGGACTCGTAGAAAACTGATATGCTGAGATCTTTTATATGCTGAGTTGTTGAGCACTTCAACCTCAGGCTCGTGGACAAGACGTGGTACTGTGAGATTGGATGCAATGATTGTATATAGACCAGATATGTCGCTGTTTTTTCAAAACATTTGAGGTGCACACGGCAAATCAGCTACTGTAGTATTTTTAATAGAAGACAGTACATAGGCAAAGGGAGTACTGGTAAATCAATTTAAAAAATAAATAATAATAATCTGGATGGTAAGCAGTAAGACCAATGTAGTAACCATGTAAGTATTGAATCATGTTGTGCCATATACAACTACATGTATTTAATCAAAGTTGTGCTTAAATTTGTGATTGCTTTTAAACAGCAGAACCACATAGTGTCACTGTGCTCTTTAAAATTGTACTGTAGAATAACTATTGTACATAAACATTCACACACTATTGTCTTCGAACTATTGGAGAAAACGTATTTACGACATCAAATTCTGACTTTTTACAATATGAAATCATGACTGTTTTATTCAACATTTATGACTGGGATTCACAAATTGTTACAATGTGTTTTTTTATTCACTTGCCGGCAAAATTAATGATCAATAATGATTTATGAACTGCCATTAAATCATGATATACATTTACATTTTTACAAGAACATTTGTTTCTTTGTTAGACTCCTAAATTACCTGCACAGTTTAGTCATTGCTCTTATCATCAAAATACCAGATCATCAAAAATGCCTCCGAGTTCTTTGTGATGATTATTTTCACCTGACTGACGATGTTAAATAGTTTTAACTAACACAGGGGGGCAGTGTTGCTTAGACAATGAGACGAGCTGCATGTAGTTCAGATTCTCAATCAGGTGCCTCACGACCACATACATTAAAATCAACTTATTGATATTTGTTGGTGAATTTGTGAGTTAAATATTTTGTTAAAATAAATCACACGCGTCAGGGCACGTTTCCATCAACAACAGATCAAAAATAGCGTATTGCATACGCATAAAAACTTTTTTTGACAGTTTTCTGGAGAAATACATTTTCTGCCATACCGTACTTTCATATATATTCTAACTAGTTTCCTTAAATATAAATTAAAAAGCTGTTTTGACAAACTCGTTAATTTGATGTTTTTTAAAGGACAAATAATGTTATAAACATTTATTTTTAATGAAGTAAAACCACTATTTATAATCGAGAATTGAAAAATCGTTGTTAGAAAACATCTTTTACTGACAATATGAAATACAGGTTTTTTGTGTTTTTACGGAATAGCCTAAAATAATTAAAGAAAGAAAAATAAATATACAATACATTTCATTGTATATATTTAAGATAATTACATTTCCCTTATATTGTGTATATATTGTTTTTTATGTCCTTATATCTCACGGTTTGATACAAATACATTATCTGTAATTCTCAACAAGCCAAATTATTCTTCGTATCGCTGTTTTCAATGCGAGAATACAAAACAACAGACTTCCGGTGGCGTTTGAACGCACCAGTCGCGATTTAAAGACGTCACACTGGCGTCTCTTTCGTAGGTTCTACATGTGTAAAAGCTGAGTGGGAGAATTTGTTTGTTTACTCGCTTAAACTGTGTTTTGAAATTTCCATTTTTAAGGGTCCAGATAGAGACAAGTGTTGAGAAGGACAGGCGGTGAAAAATAAGGACTCGCGCCAAGTACAACACATTAAAACGTGTTAAATGTAGCTACTTGACAGGACACCTGTGTTCAATACACATACGATGGCTGATACAGAGACAAATGATACGAAGAAAAGCGACTCTGCGACGAAGCAGCCGCAATGTGCTAATGGAGCTAACGGAAACAACAACAACAAGGTGGACAATGAAGCCGAAAACCAAACGAAGTCCAAGAGACAAATGAAGAAGCTGCTGAAGCAGCAGAAATGGGAAGAGGAGAGAGAGCTGAGGAAGTAAGTATGGTTTTTAGAATTTCGAAATAAATAAAAGTAGTTTCCTTTAGGTTAAAGACTAATTTCATTGGCATTTTGGGAACCTTTGTTTTGATTTGCAACTTTTATGTTAATACCACTGTAACGTACGGCTGTTTAGGTTGATTAACGCATCATAATTCCTGAATTTAATTTAAAAATAATTGAATTTCCAAAATAGTTTTTTTTATTAATATAAAAGCAAATGCTTGCACATTTTCCTTTTTGAAAATAGTTTTTTTGATTAATATAAAAGCAAATGCTTGCACATGGAAATTATAAACGGAGTACTAATTTAAATGTATCTTATTAAACTGCTTTATTGAATTTAACTTAACTAACATTTTGTTGTTTCTTCAGTTCAGTTGTAGTTCAAGTTGTAGTCCAGGCATAGGCAAACTAAACTTTTCCAAATTGTATTTCCCTGCAATACCCACGTTCCCCCAATAGATGGTGTAGAAATTGTTAAAAGCATTCTAGTCTTTGTGCAATACTTTTACATGTCATTTAACTTAGTTCACACAAATGCTCCATCTATCTGCTCCTGACCCGCCCCCCGTTTAACTTTAAGACCAGTTGTGGCCTGCAGGTCAAAAAAAATTGTGCCCACGCCTAAGCTGAAGTCACTTTTCTTACTCCACTGCAGACAGCGTCGCAAGGAGCGAAAGCAACAACGTCGTCTGCAGAGGCAGAACCGTGACGATGAAGAGCAGCTTGAGGGTGACGCCCAAAATCCTAAGAAGCGTCTACGCCGTGAGGTGACGCCCAGCCCCTTGAGGCTGGTGGTGGACTGCAGCTTTGACAGCCTGATGCTGATGAAGGTGAGCGGCTGGTTGAATCGTAAACAAAAGTCACGTGATTCCTTGTGTTTAATGAGTGTTTGTTCAGAGGTCGACAAAAGCTCCTAATGCCAAAGAAAAGGTTTTACAAGAAATAATTAAAATTGTTGCACTAATGACGTTGTCTGTGCAGGACGTGCGCAAGCTTCACAAACAGATCCAGCGGTGCTACGCCGAGAACAGACGAGCTCTTCATCCAGTGCAGGTCGGTAAATAGGTCAAGACCTAGTTCTGAAAGTGAATTATTTGTGACACAACAAAATGTGACCTCTGCTTTTAACCCATCACCAAAGTGAACAGTGGGTAGGGACGGTGCAGTGCTCAGAGCACCTCAGTGGTAACTTGGCAGCTGGTGGACTTGAACCTGAAGTCCACTTCCTTAACCACTAAGCCACCACTGCCAATGTTCCTGACTGATTGACTGATTGACTGATTGTCCGTGTGGTTTTCCTTCCTCAGTTTCATCTGACCAGTCTGGGCGGGCAGCTGAAACAGAGCCTGGATGAAAGAGACAAAGGATGGGTCAACTGGAAGGTAAGTCCTCATCATTGATCGTTTGGGAAGAAAAATTTTGATTTGGTCTTACTTTGTTTACTAAAGTTTTTTAATTTTGCTTTGTAGTGTTAATATGGGTAATACCATATTTAAACTATTTTCATTTGATTAGTCATCATGACACAAATGACATTAGTGTTTTAGTGTATGTGTATATATGTATACATATATACAGTATAAATGTATGTATGTATGTATGCATTTTGTGTGTTTGTGTACATAAGTCTTTTTCCTTTTCTATGTCCTTCACCTTAACGCAGTTTAGTCAAGATCAGACATGGGCAAACTAGGGCCCGGGGGCCAGATGCGGCTCGTTTAGATTTGTAATCCGGCCGCCAAACATGTCCAAATTATTTATTTGGTTTGTATTGTGATTATACTTCTGCCTTTTCCCTGCAGTGCCCACATTTTCCCTATAGATGGCGTAGAGAAGGCTGAAAATACATTTTAGCATTTTAGCCTTTATGCATGACTTTTCCATGTCATTTATTTTAGTTCACACGAATACTCCATCTATCTGCTCCTGACCGGCCCCCTGTTCAATTTTAGGACCAATTGTGGCCCGCGGGTCAAAACGTTTGCCCACGTCTGGTCAAGATGGAGTTAGGAGTGAAGTTCAAAAGCCAATTATTCCTTTAAATGTTTTTTCTAATAGTCCCGCTTCATGTCAGTGTTACGTGTCGCTGACAAAACGCGTTTTACCTTTGAAACGTTTATTTCTGAATAATCGTAACCTGTGTGTGTTCATAGGAGATCAACATTGAAACTGCTCACTACAGTGAACTTATAGCTAAGGAGGAGCTGGTCTGCCTGACATCAGACTCTCCCAATGTCCTGGAGGAACTGGATCAGAAAAAGGCCTACGTGATCGGAGGACTGGTGGACCACAACCATCATAAGGTCTGTCCTACTTCAGGAGCGTCTCGTTTCGCAGGACTACGCGGTTTTCAATGGTACCTTTTCATGTGCGTCTTTATTACAGGGGATCACCTTTGAGAAGGCCAAAGAGCTCGGAATCGAACACGCTCAGCTTCCCCTGAGCAGCTTCGTCAAGATGAACAGTCGAAAGGTTCTGGCAGTTAACCATGGTAAGTTCAACAGACGGGCCACGTCACAGGTTTACTCTTAACTTTTTTTCTTTGTTGGGTTGATGCTGCAGTAACTGCCTATCAACACAATATCAATACATTCCTGAATATATCATCAGTTAGTATTTTCATTATACATATATGTTTACATATACATAAATATACACGTATATGCATGCTGTATATATACAAATATGTGCATATGTGTATATTTATATGTATACATACATACACATATATATATATATATGTGTGTATATTTATGCACTGTATGTGTATATATGTATAGTTTTACAATAAGGAACTTTAAAAAAGATTAAAAAAGGTTCCTCAATATTTCCTAAATATTTCTTTTGTACATTACCAAAAACGTCCTTATAATGTAATAATCTCATTTTGATGGTGAAATGAATAGTATAGTATATTTACAAAATAAATAAAATAAATATAATTTTTTTTTTTTTTTCGAGTACTAGGGCCACATTAAAAATAAAATGAGATTATAGTTATAACATTTTGAGGAAAGAAGTTGTAATTTTTATGTGAATAAAGTGGTAATATTAGTATCACCAGCATGAAGATTTCTTTTTTACTTTAAAAATTCATCAAGTGGGCCAGGTTGAACCACCCAGCAGGCCGATTTTGGCCCACGGGCCGTATGTTTGACACCCCTGATCTAAACGTTCAACTTTATACCCGTAAAATTATAACTTCATTCTCATAAATGAACAAGCTTTTACTGATTACCGTACAATTTTTTTTCTTCTTCTTCATAAAATTACAAAATTATTCTCGAAACATTGGGTTTTGATGGACCATAGTCCTAGTTGCCTGTAAACAACTGTTCTCTCTGCCTTCTCTCCTGATTCCAGTGGGTGTGTTTGAGCAGACGTGCTGCGCTTTGTCTCACAGGCTGGCACCTGATATTAACATAGAACAAGAGTCACAAACATGTAATTTTCACTCTATTCTGGTCTGAAAGCCTTGTTTCCATTGTGTGCTTTGATCACATGTAAATAACACTGTCTGAATGCTCGATTTGATTGGCTGATTAGCGTTGCATGAAAAGAGGAACGCTGTGGTGGAGAGGCTAACTTCAGTATTTAATCAGCCACAGCTTGAATCTGCTTTTTTTTGTTAAGAAAAAAACACAAGATGACAGTGACACCTAGTGTCCATTTATGTCTTTTTCTATCTCTCTTTGATGTCGGTCTCCTGCAGTGTTTGAGATCATCTTGGCGTATTTGGAGAAGGGCAACTGGAAGGATGCATTCTTTACCGTCCTGCCTCAGAGGAAAGGAGCTGTGGCCATCGGCCAAGAAGGAGCTAACGCCGCAAAGAAAGAAGACGACGACGATGACTCAGACTCCGATTCAGACCCAGACTCATCAGAGCAAACTGAGAAAAGAACTTGATTCCAAGCATGGGGGACATAAAATCCACTATTTTATGCTTCTTTCTTTCTGACATCGAATTTTTTTTTAAATGTATTTATTTAGAAATTCAACATTTTCCCAATATAAACACTCACCTTAGCTCAAATGCTAAGTTAAAGTGGCTATTTCTGTTCTGCTACAAGTATGGTAAAATATCACTTTTCTTCCAGTATGAAACCACAAGCTACAGCTGTAACCAGGTGACTAACAGGTTTGACCAAAGAGAAAGTAAAAACACCATCCTTGAATGTCCCTGAAGTCGTGAGATTCTTTGGAATTTTGCCGTGAGGTGATGTTTTTGAGAAATTTTGAGTTTTAACTTTGGTCTGTTGATATCGGTCCTCCATACTGGTGACATTACATGGACTGATCTGACCAGACTTGGCAAGTGTTACTGTCTACGCCAGGGGTAACCAACATCGTACCCCCTGTGGACTACCTGGTGCCCATGGGGTATGTTCCAGAAATCAAACTAGTCAATAAGAGGGTCATACAATAGTAGACACTCTTCTGAGTGACTACTATTGTATGTCCCAGAACTTAGTATTATTACATTGTTCAGGAGGTCTGTATCAAAAGTAGCTCTTCGTATCATTAAGTACCCTTGAAGTAGCTCTCCGTTTCAAAAAGGTTGGTGACCCATGGTCTACAGGTCCGCACAATGCAAACAAATTGGTTTAGTTTGCTTATTTTTTTAGTTTTTGCATTTTTTTAAACAACCTTTTAATAGTTGTGCCATGAAGTTGACAAGAACATGTTGGCAAACAAAAAACCTGTCCTTCGCTTCATATTGACATCTTCGTCCCCTCAGTTGATGCAGATGATGCTGCACCCCCATGATATAGGACTTGTGATCTTGAGACTACGGAGGATGCTTGCAGCCAGTGAAGTAAGGTAAAAGAATGTTGGAGACGATTTTAGCCTCATGCCATGGCTCAGCTGGTAGTAGCCATCAGGAGATGGAGGCTTGAGTGGTGAAGTGGTGCAGAAAACCACACGGACAATCGGTCAACCAATCAGGAACATTGGCAGGGGTGGCTTAGTGGTTAAGGAAGAAGACTTCGGTCCGGACGGCTTCAGGTTTGAGCATGGCCCCCGTCCCCACACACTGCTCCCCAGGCGCTTAAAGCTGCCCACTGTTCACTTTGGTGATGGGTTAAAAGCAGAGGTCACATTTGGTTGTGTGTGCAGTGGTGTGCAGTGTCAAGTAGTTCACTTTCCTTTTCTTTCCTATTGCTGTTGACTTACATTACCCCTGGGCTTATTGTAATGGAGTTGTTGACAAGTAGATGTAGATGTAAATTACAGTTTAAAGCAAACACAGGCATATTGTCCCACCTGACCTTTACCTGAATGCAGGTAATCATTTTCAGTTTGATTTATTTGTAGTCTAAATAATTAAAATGTATTATTATTATTATTATTCTTTGCCTTTTCTATAAAAAAAAGGCATCTCGCAGCAAAATTGTTGTTTTTTTCCCCACTTGTGTACAGAGACATAAGTAATACAGCTAAAATAGTCGTACTCTAAAAAGTTACTTTTTAATTTTAGTACTAGGCGTTACATTTTATAGTTTCTATGATTTATTTTGTTTTTCTTTCTTTTACTCCAACTAGGGTTGTCAATTCACAGATTTTTTTCCAATAGTTTGACTCCAACCTAAATTTAAGTAGATGTATATTTGGTTGAGATGTGGACACGGAAAACATGTATTATTTATTTATATTTTTATTTATTTATAAAAGTTGTAAATATATATCATATATTGACACATGGAAAACATCTATTATTTATTTATATTTTTTAGTGCAAAATAACAAAATGAACTAAAATAAATATACGCTTAACTTAAAATTGTATAAACTAATAGAAACAATTGAAAGCAGAACATTCCTGTAATTTGGTTAATAAAAGTTGTAAATATATATCATATATATAAATATGTGCCTTAAAGGGCATCACTGTCGGCTACAGTTGAAGAAAAAAAAGATTAAACTCAAAAACTCAATGCTACATTATATAGCTACAGTTGAAGAAGAAAAAAGATTAAACGCATGAACTCAAAAACTCAATGCTACATTATATGGAGACAGCATATATACAGTATATGATAGAAATATTTTAATATTATTATTAGCCTTTATCCTATATTTTCAATTGTTCATTAAAAAAAGTCCTACATCCGACAGACTACACGCCACCAGGGGGAAAGGTTTGAGTGAGAACCAAACAGTTACGTTTACCTTACCGGAAGTTGTCGTATCCGCGGCAACGAGTGAAGGGACTTGAAAACTGTCCTTCTTTTTGTATTTAAGTTTCACGGTGAACAATCCAATGTCGCCAAAAGCACTTAAAGTGGTGGTGGAGATAAAGTTCAGAGCGGTAAGAATCTTTTATTCTCTTTCCAGTCGACGTTAAACTTCATTTTTAATCAAATAGAACATGGCGTGTTGTATTTCAGTGCCAATGTATTAAATGTCCGTCATTTTGTTTTTTAAAAAATTAAACGGAACGCATTTACAAGCAGGTGACAAATGACGCATATAATTTTTTAGGCCAAATCTATGACGTAAGACGATGCATTTTTTAAGTACCTAAACGAGAAACTAGTAAACAAAAGTAAAGGTAAAATAGGCATGTCAAATATAAGCTCTAAATAGGTTAATTTAATATAAATTCTTATATATACATAAGAATTATATATAATTATTATATATAATTTAGTAATTGTAATATACCTTTTTAAAATTAATTAAAACTTTTATTAATCTTGTTCATCTCTGTGCTTTCATGGATATGCGCATATCTTAATGTTAATTTCACTAATTTGTGGTTTATTCAAAAAACAACAACAACAATAAACTGTATTGGTCCCAGTTATGACCATTTGCTCAACAAAAACAGGGTTTTTAATCATTTAGTCATTATTTCATTTGATTTACATTTCCCTTATTCTAACCAGATTTTTAAAAATCCATGAGATTAAGGTACCAACAAGGGTGAGTTGGTCTAGAGGTCAGCAATAAAATACAAATACATAACTATTTGTTATGGTACTGTGCTGTTTCTTAAATTATTTTAAACACTACATAAACAATTTAGCTAAAATGCTCAATTCAGGAAGTTTCCTGCCGTTATTTATATTTAGTTCTTCTCTTTTAAACAAAGGGAGAACAATGGTAACTTCCCACATTTCCAGGATTTTATTTCTAATCAAACTCTGCTTTGTTCACATATAAAACACTAAATACAGCATGAATTAATTTGATTAAAAATTAGACTTACATTACACTTTTTTCAACTTTGGTTCAACTGTGGAAAAACATTTACATCTTATACCCATGTGATTCTTTGATTCTTCCTCTGCTTCTTTCTAAACCCACCACATCAGCAAATGAATAATAATGTACCTCTGGTTCTTCCTAAGGTCACCACATCAGCAAATGAATAATAATGTTTTTTTTTCCCACCCAGGTCTCCTGTCCCGGAGTTCATCTTCCCACCAAAGATGACGTTTACCTGGGCACGTGCTTCATGGGGCAGTACCGTCAGTCAGAATGTCTTCCTGCTGTCTTCCCGCTGCTGTTTCACGAGAAGATGACATTTGAAAAGGCAGGCTGAAACTTGCACATGTCGTAACGTGCGACACATTAATAATATTTGTTACAAAATTTTTTTTTTTTCCAGATTTTTCTTGACGCTGTGGATCCAGGAGACATAGCTGTCATGCTTGAGTGTGAGTTTAATTTCATTTTACACAGACATTTGTGGCAGATGTTTCAGTTATTTTTTTTTTTTTTAGCCAACATGTCATTACAGTATATGTGAGCATTGCATGACAAAACGTACATGATGTTCAATGATTTCAATGATTTTCTTCGTATCACAACAACAATCAATATATGACTGAACCAACTTTGTCTGAGCTGGTGACCTTTCAAATATATAGAGACAATACACATGTAATTTGAGAACTCATTTACTCTAAACATTCAAGTCATGCTGGGTCACATTACTTTTTAAAAAATACATAATTTCCCAGTACACTTAATATGAATTTTTTCAGTAGTAGGTGTAAAATTTGGCTTTTTTGCTGTATAAAAACATGACCTATTGAAAATTTATGGAAAAGAATATGATCACAATTCACTGCTTAAAATCAGTTTACCCATGTTTACTGTTGGGTTTGTTGGAAAGAGACAGATCTAAAATCTATCGTTTTAAATAATACATATGGAAGACTGCGAGGTACTACGAAGTACTAGGACGACATTGGAGGTGAAAAAAATGAGAGAGAAATGTGGGAGCTGTATATTATATCACTAATCAATATTTCAGGTTTGATTTCTTTGGTCTGGTTGTCACAGTAACGTTAAGGTACATGTCATGTGTAAAGGTAAAATATGGTGTTTAGGTACATGTCATGTGTAAAGGTAAAATTTAAAAAAAATTTTTATTGATTTTTCTTCCCAGATGAGATGGTCAGGGTTGAACTAGTGCAGGTGACCCCTCCTGGTGAGATACTGCATTTTACTGTATATGTACACGGTTAATATATTTAATGCTGTTCTTCTTGTTACTCAGGTGTGGGTGTTTTTCTGTTTTGTTTTTTGCAGTGGGAGACACTTTGGCCTATTTTGAGGAAGATGCTCGAAAGTTCTTGTTTCCGGAACCCAGGCTGGTTCCTTCCTTCTCTGGAGTGGACCAAGAAGTTCTGATGACCCGAGCCCCTTACTTTCCAGTGGGTTCCACTTTTTTATACATTACCTTAAAGCAGTGGCTGTCAATTATTATCCGTCATGCCCCTCCTTGGAGACAGAAATGTTTTCATGCCCCCCCGACCCACATCCCCGCTAATTGAAATACTGTTGAGATCATGTTAACATGTATATTTTTATCTGTACAAACCACTGTATGAGTTGCTGCCACCTAGTGACTGGAGGCTTGTTATCATTCAAGCATTACAGCAGTGGTACACTTATGTCCAGCGTGCCATATTTCATTAGAAACCCCTTATGGCCCCCCTGGCACCTCACCACAGCCCCTCAAGGGGGCCCGCCCCACTATTTGAGAAGTACTGCCTTAAAGAGAAACTTTCAGTGTGTATATACATTTTTCATAAAATACACAATGAATAGTAAGTCTTCTTGTAGTTGGCTTATTTTGTCTATTTTATTTTGTCTTTTGTCTTTGATCTTACACTAGCCCATCTGGTAGCTATCAGCTAAGTATGCTAATTTACCTAATAACATAAGGGACATACATTTTATGTTCAGTTGTGGAAATTTTGACCAATGTTGGACCGAT